CGTGGACTCCGGGGGCGCCCCAGCGGGGGCGCGCCGCCAGGTGGGTCCAAAGAAGCGGTTCGAGAGAACGTCAGACACGCAGCCATGTCGGCCAAGATTCGAGTTGGACGAGCTCGAGCATGGCAGGTTCACCAACGGTGGTTGGCAGAGCAGTCTCAATGCATGCGCAATGAAATATGTCATGTGCTGGAGGACAGCGAGACATCTGCGCTCGTCTAGCACCAGTCTTCTACCGCGTCCACGTCCGCCGGGCGCGGTAGGCAGCGTGACCTGGCAGAGGCATGGCGCTCTTTTTGCAGGATGAGGACATCGCGAATGATTGCCCCCGCGATCTACTCCACCGCGTGGAAGGGGAATCCCGCGTTGCACAAGTCCGAAGAGCAGCGGGCCGCGAGCAGGGCGAAGCAGTTGGCAAAGGGAGCGCAGGCCTCGAACAGTCACCCCGATGGCGTCGAGGGGGGGGCCTGCCGCCGCTGCGCGCGCGCGCGCGGCGACGCCCCGCAGCCCAAGCACCTGCACCTGTGCCCCTACCTGTTGGCGGTGGTCCTGAGCCCCCCGCCGCGGAGGAGGCCGCGGAGCGACGATCGGGGGGGCGTGGGAAAGAGCGACTGGCACATATCAGCATTCAAAACAAGGCAGTGCCCGTGGAAAGCTCCACGACCAGAACGCCGCCAGCGGAAGCCCCCGCGCGAGGGGCACCTCTAGAAGAAAAACTTGCCATGCGGAGCTGGACTGAGCCCCGAGGGCCGCGAAGCTCCCCGAGCCCCGAGGAAGCCCCCGCGCGAGGGAACGCCTCGGGCCCGGTGCCGCGAAGCAGGGTGACAAGTATTGATGCATTCGCTGTCGAATGTTTTACTAGAAGGACTGATGCTGTCCCTGACGAATGCCCCACTATGCAAGTTCCGGTAGAAAGATTCACAACTGGAGAGGATCCGCTCATCGGAGGTGGAGACGAAGCAGACGAAGCTGAGGATGGCGAGGATCGCGATGCTCAGTTGATCGCAAGTAGAGCCAAATTCCTCGCGCTCAATGTCACGAGCCTGAACAATGCTAGGCTCGGGGAGGTCTTGAAGTTCTCCATGCAGGACGATGAGGCGGACATCGTAGCCTCGCAGGAGGCCAGGCCGAAGGTGGAGAAGCCGCAGCGGGTCATCGCCGAGGCCAAACGGGCAGGTTGGTCAGTGGCTTGCTCGACTCCATCTCCGCCTGGTGCAATGTGCGAAGTACGACAGGGAGGAACGGCTGGACTATGGCGACCTCAACTTGGACGTACCTCGGTAATTCAAGAGGCGAGTCTTAGACATAGAGTGGTCAGCATCAGGACGGCAAGGCGACATATATGTCTGTCTATTCGCCACAACAGTATCACATGACTTGGACTGCGAGTCTTTTCAATATATTTCCTAATTTTGGTGCTGACGGACACCCAGTATTTCCATGGGTGACCTCAGCTGGCGAGAGTCGCGCGCGGCCGCGATGGGACCTGGATTCCATTTGGCGCAGCAGACGATACCAATGGCAGCTCAGGGCACAGCGCCGACCAGGCGTGGCACCTGTTGGGCCATTTGACAAGCTCAGCTCCGAGATGTGAGGGCATGCAGCTACTGCCTGGCATACCTGATCATGCTCTGCTGAAATATTCGATTGAAGTGCCGGCATACACCAGAAAAAGCAAAGCGACTCCACCACGCGGCGAAGTATGCGCTGGAACGCGCACCTGGATATGGCATGGCCCTTACTTCGGAGGCGACGGCGTCACGGTGGAAGTCGCGGCATTCCCGCGCTGAATTTGCCGTGGCCATCGGAGTGGAGAGGGCCATGCGGCAGTGGGGCGACAAGCAGGAAGAGCCAAGGGATCACCCCCAACAGTGCGGCCAGTTGGTGCCGGATCAGTACACCGCTTTGATCATGCGATTGCACGGAACGTTTCGAACATCATGCGAGGATTGGCGGCGGGCAGAACCCGTCGGAGCTGCTGGAGGCGAAGAATTTGAAGCACTATGCGCAGGCCGTGTTGGACGACCTACTCAAGTCCACTGGAGATGGGCCTCTCACATGTGCCGACGCCTTGGACCCAGCGTCGAATGGCACTGCGGCGGGGGATGTCAATGTCCACAAGCAGAAGACGAATAAGTGGAAGAAAAGGTTCGCGACGCGGAGCACACATTTGCATGAGTTAACGACGCCGCGCTTCAGACCGACGGCACCATCAGCGCCGTTCGGGCCAAACGAGATGCACGAGACATGGATGGCCCAGTGGCGCCCGCCTGATCATCGTGAACAAGATGAAGAGGATGTGCGCAAGTGAATGTGGCCCGCGGCTCAATTACAATTCCTACAGTCCACGCATGGCCAGGCGCGGGTACCTACCGCGCAGTCCTTTGATCAGATCCTGGCCAAGGCCTCTGGCCCAGCAGGGTTTGGACGGGGGGCCAACGAGATCGAAGCAACCAGACCGTTATTCCCAGGGTTGGTGCTGGAACTGCATGCAGCATGGGTTTCCATGCCCCAATATTGCGCGCAGGAGAATGGCAGAGTTCCAAGAGAATTTCTTGACCAGATCTGTCCGTGGAGGGCGTTGGGCACCCCGAAGGGAGAGTCAGACATGCGCCCGAGCTCTGTCGGATCCATCCCGGCCAGATGCTGGCCCACTGCGCTCGCAGCGGCAATCCCGCAGCCGCGTGAGAACCACAGGGCAGAAAAGCGAGGTGTCAGCGTGGCGCACGCTATTCCAGAGAGGCTTGTGGAGGCCACGCAGTCGGACGCGGGTGCGGAGCTGGATCTATCACAAGTGTGCGATTTCATTGGCCATGATTTGCGCGGCAGCTCTCCTGGCCGGTGATGCTCCTGACGCGGCGGTCTACACAGCAGTGGCAGATCGGGCAAGACCTCGGACCCTCAGTGTGGGCGGGCACTATGCGACACCAGTATATCCAGCAGGGGGTCCCCCGCAAGAGGATTCAGTGGCGCCAGCAGGCGCGATTGCAGTCCTCGCGCCCTGGCAGCCAAACAGTGGCCAGGTACACATGGACGAGGGATCGCTGACGAACCTGAACGCAGATCATGCGCAGGGCGACCTCGCCACGACGGAGACGTTCGACGGGGAACGCGGGTTCGTTGAGAACGCATCGAGGCGTCAGCTGTCGAGCGCAGGAAACAATCCACCAGCAGTGGCCGAGAACATTGGCATCAAGGCGAGACCAACCGACGCTGAGTGCTCCATCCTACCTGGCACGGGCGGGCAAACATAAGCAGTTGAGACATTGGGATCAATGCCCGGTGGATCGGGTGCGAGGCAAAGACTTGCAGTCAGTTATAGCAGACCGTTGTGGCACTGGGCTTCGCCACTGTTGGCGCTGCCTCCAGATGACCTCCCTCGGCGACCTCATGGCGCAATAGTAAGGTCAGCGAGCAAATGGTGGCGCCGCAGAGGATGGTGGGCCCGCAGAGTACACTTGCACCCCCGACCGGGGGCAGCTCTATACGTGCTCGGCACTGCAGTTCATGGGGAGCTCGAGCGGTCACACTTTGTGGAGACGGCGACGGTGGCACATCGCGCTGCGATGGGATTGCACTTCGCGAGATTTCCAGAACAGCGCGGCTGCTTGCTGGAGGCGAACCTGATGGATGATCGTCGAGTTGTTGCAGCATTGTCTCAGTTCTTTCTTCCTGGTGCATCGCGCTTTGGAACGAGGCGGCCACGGCAGGAGTAGCACCGCGGGATAGTGGGGCACGCTTTGGGGACAGTTGCCAGTGCGAGGCGTTTCAAGCAGGTGGCGCCGGAGAGGAATGCTGCGGATGATATCGACGAGGTGGATCCGCACGTTGTTTCTCGCGTTGCTTTCGCCAAGTCGGCCAGGGGGCTCCCAGATGCCGACAAGAAATTGTTTTGCAAATGCTTGTCGCGAGTCGTCTCATCTGAGACCAGACGGCAAAGTGGCAGACCCTCCAGTCATCACAACGCCGCATGGCCATCGTTCAGACATGTACGGGCGGACTGCCTTGGATCCAATCGAAAGCGTATTTTCGTGACAAGTTCGAAATGGGCCCTTTCTTCTGGGTCGGTGCGCCGAAATCGATGTCGAAGAGTGGGTGGATCATTCTCGCCCAGGCGCCGACACTCCAAGAAAGGGCCATATTGATGAGGTCAGCGCGTGAGCTGGCCATCCACATCACGCAGCTCAATCCAACTCAACGCCAACAATCTTTGTATTCGCCCCACGTGCTGGATCTACCTCATCGTTAAGGTGACCACAGACACAATCTTCTTCTACATGGCGAACATCGTAAGAGGCACTTTCGCCGTTCGACTCCAGCCGCTCCCTCTCGTGCCCCATCGGCCTGCTCCTTCTCCTGCGTGCGAGCGACAGCTTCGCGCCATG